TGAATATCTTTAGAGTTTTACCAGCATCACCATGTGTTTGTATTGTCGTTGGGTGACATCCAGTCAATTCTGACTGACAGCAACCCAAAGCACAACAGAACAAAACATGGCCCAGTCTTGCACCAAGTATGAGCGCTAGGCAGCCCCAAATCTATTTGATCTTTATGGATATGCTTGTCGGTGGGGGGGGGGGGGGGTGTCATGTAAATGGAATCATGCAATACATGTTCTTTTTTGACTGCCTTCTTTCCCTCAACATTTATTTTCAAAATGTTTTAGCATGTATCAGTGCTTCATTCCTTCTGTGCAAACAATATTCACATTTTGTTGGCCAATCATCAGTTGATAGTCATTGTTTCCATTTGTTGGCTGCTGTAAATGATGCTGCTGCGAACATCCATGCACAAGTCTTTGCACGGATGCAGGATTTCATTTGGCTTGGGGAGAGATCTAGGAATGGAGTAGCTGGGTCACACGTTTAACTTTGTCAGAAACCTCTAAACTCCTTTCCAAAGTGATTCTCACTAGCAATGAACGAAGGCTATACAAGTTCTCGAGATCCTCGCCAATGCTAATTATCTACCTTTCTTATTACAGCTATTCTAGTGAGAATTACAAGGCTCTCACTGATTTTCCTTTGCACTTCTCTAATACTTTCTGAGCATCTTTACCTGTGCTTGCTGGTCACTTGCATATCTTTTTTGTAGGAATGGTTTATTCAGATCTTCACCCCAGATCCATGATTCTAAAACCTAGATAAGACGATACCATTCTCTCTTCAAACCCTCCTGCTCACCAACCTCTAAGTAAGTTCCAGCCACACTTGTTTCCATCCTGTTTCTCAAATAAGCAAAGCCATTGGCCATATCAGGACCTTGAAACTTCCTACTCTTTCTGCCAGGAATGATTCTCCCCTGGCTCTTTGTGGCCAACTTCACTCTTACGCTTCACATCTAAATGTACATGTCATCTCCCCAGAGAACGCTTTCCCGGGGTTCCTGCCCACAGCAGTCCCTTTCATACTTACTCTCTAACACAGTGCCTTGTTGGTCTGTAAACTCCCCGAGACCTGCAACCTTAGGTGTGTCATTTGCAACTCCAGGGCAGGGCTTCGAATAGGACCTGACGCACAGCAAACTACACATAGAGGGGTCTACCAAAAGCTCATGGAAAAATTCTATCTTTAAATTCCATTTTTTCATGAACTTTCGGAAGCCCTCGTGTGTGTGTGTGTGTGTGTGTGTGTATGTGTGTGTGTGTGTGTGTGTGTGTTAGTGAATGAATGCATAAGTAGCTTCAGAGTCTAGGCTTACAATAAAGTAACGAGGACTACTTTCCAGAACTCACACCTAAATATAAATTACTGATCAGACAAGACTAACGATAAAAGTCAAATTCAAACTATACATCAAAACTCAAGTATTTGGTCTTTCTCTGACTCCTACTTAGAACTTTGAACGTTGGCAGTTTGCTGGCGGCATTTTAGGGCGCAATGAAGGCCAAATCATTCTTTCTGTCGGATTTGTCATTCGGACTACAAAATTTAAGCAACACTGGAACCAATGCAAGTTCTCTACCCTCCTCCCCTCCCCTGCGGAGGCTGATATACAATGGTTACAAACAGCAGCCTTTGCAGTAGTGCACACAGCCTGCAGTGTATATAGCCTGTTGGCACGTATGGATGGCATTCATGTAGTGCACACAGCCTGCAGTGTATATAGCCTGTTGGCACGTATGGATGGCATTCATGTAGTGCACACAGCCTACAGTGTATACAGCCTGTTAGCATGTATGGATGGCATTCATGCAGTGCACACAGCCTGCAGTGTATATAGCCTGTTGGCACGTATGGATGGCATTCATGTAGCACACACAGCCTACAGTGTATATAGCCTGTTGGCACATATGGATGGCATGCATGTAGTGCACACAGCCTACAGTGTATACAGCCTGTTGGCACGTGTGGATGGCATTCATGTAGTGCACACAGCCTACAGTGTATATAGCCTGTTGGCATGCATGGATGGCATTCATGTAGTGCACACAGCCTACAGTGTATACAGTCTGTTGGAACGTGTGGATGGCATTCATGTAGTGCACACAGCCTACAGTGTATAGTCTGTTGGAACGTGTGGATGGCATTCATGTAGTGCACACAGCCTACAGTGTATATAGCCTGTTGGCATGCATGATGGCATTCATGTAGTGCACACAGCCTACAGTGTATATAGCCTGTTGGCCGTATGGATGGCATGCATGTAGTGCACACAGCCTACAGTGTATATAGCCTGTTGGAATGTATGGATGGCATTAATGGGCCTTGGAGACAGCCCTTTCCTGCTTTCATGTCTCTGCTATTACTAATCTAGACTGCAGATGGGGATGTGAGGTACCTTTAGAAAACCTTAGGATACGGGGGCCAAGTCATTAGTCCATCAATACCAAGCTTCCAAACAAGGAACGTGTGATTCAGGCCCTCCACAGGGCCAAGTTCAAATTCTCTGAAGATCCACATCCCCAAGAGGGGCTTTCCCAAGTTTGATGCTGATGACTGACCCTGAAGACAAGGTAGCCGCGAAGCACCGCACCTTAGACCAGCGGTTCTCAACCTGGGGGGTCAAATGACCCTTTCACAGGGGTCGCCTGATTCGTGGTAGTAGCAAAATTACAGTTATGAAGTAGCAACAAAAATACTTTTATGTTTGAGGGGGTCACCACAACACGAGGAACTGTATTAAAGGGTCACGGCATTAGGAAGGTTGAGAACCACTGCTTTAGACAGATGTAGAATTAAATACACCCCTAATCTTGGCCCTTGGACAAGTAGCAGGCCCTACACTCATCAAGGCCTTGGCAGCACTGCCCTGCCTGGCCTGCCCACCCATTCGATGAATGTCCTGCCTCAAAAAATTAAATAAATAAAAAGTTTTCCAGATCCAGAAATCAACTTCCTTTTCTGGTCACCCGATCCTGATCTGTTTCCCTTCAGCGAACTACTGTCTCCCTAACAAAGGGCACTGGAACAGGCAGGTAGCCACAAGTAAAGGAATGACGTGGGATCCTTCCTGACACCACACGCCAGGACTCATTTCCAATGGACCACAGACTTCGACATCAAAATGAACCGTGAAAGTCCTAGGAGCACAGGGACAAATCCGCACGGACTTGGGTGACACAAACTGCACTTAGATAGGACACCCCAAAACACAAATGATGAGAGAAAAACATGCAAGTTGGATCTCATCAAAATGAAAAGCGTTTGTGCTTTAAAGGGCACCACCAAGAAAGTGAAACAGCAAACCGCTCGTGGACTAAAGGTATGTCGATGCATATCACATGCTGGCTAAGGGACTGGCGTCCAGACTCTGCAAAGAACTCTTAAAAGTCATCCATAAAAGAGACCGATTTCCCAACTAAAAATAGGCAAAGGGTTTGACTAGGCATTTACGTAACGAAGACTTCAAACACAGACTGTATGTTTCCATCTACATAAAGTTTCCAAATTAGAGAAACTACAGGGGCAGAATACAGATAGTAGTTGCCAAGGGCTACAGGAAACAAAACAAAACAAAACAAAACAAATCACTGTCATCAAGTCAATTCTGTCTCATAGCAATCCTACCGGCAGGGCAGAACTTCTCCTGAACGTTTCCAAGAATGCAAACCTCTATAAGACTAGACAGCCTCATCTTTCTCCCTCAAAGTGGCGGGTGGTTTCAAACTGTTGACTTTGTAGATTACAGCCCAACTCCCAACTACTACAGAGCAAGGGCTCCTTTCAGCTTTTTGAGGGTCATGAAAATGTCCTGAAATTGAGTAGGATAATGGTTGCTTAACTTTGTGAATATACTTAGAACTATTAGACTATAAACTTTAAATGGATGAATGAAGTTATGCCTCAATACGACACACACGCACCCCCACCAAAAAAGTCATCAAATCAATTCTGACTTACAGCGACCTTTCATGTGCTTGCTGGGGCTTTGTCATCTTTTTTTTTTTTTTAATCATTTTATTAGGCTTTGTAATCTTTATAGGAACAGAAAGTCTCATCTTTCTCCCACAGAGCAGCTGGTGGGCTTGAACTGCCAGCCTTGAGATTAGCGGTCCAACACTTACTTGAAAGCACCACCGAAGCTTCTTTAACTCAATAACCAGAACCAAAAACCAAATCCGTTACCATCAAGTTGATTCCAACTCGTAGTAACCCTGTAGGACAAGGGAGAACTGCTCCTGTGGGTTTCTGAGACTGTAACTCTTTATGAGAGTAGAAAGCCTCCTCTTTCTCTCACTGGGCAGCTAGTGGCTTCGAACAACTGACTCTGCAGTTAAACTCACGACACCACTAGCTGCTTGAAACAAGGTTACCAGAAAGCTCATCATCTGTAAATGTACAAAGATGTTAGTGCAGTGTATATAATAGTTACTGTGAGTAGAGGCTTCAGTCCAGAGAAACGCTCACTTCACTGCCACACAAAATTATCTCAAACCATATCCCTCCTCCTTCCTTATTTTTAAAATTTGGTCTCTCATTATACCTTTTTTATACTGCTTGTCCTTTTCCTCCCCGGTACACTTATCTCAATTTGTAATCATATTCACTTAGGGGACCTTTGTCTAATGCCTGAAATCTCACTGATCTATAAGCTAGGTGACTGTAAGGAGTAGATTTTGTTCATTTCTGCATCATCAGTCCCTAGCAGCATCTAACACAATCAGTTCTTAAATATTTGCTGAATAAATAAAAAACATCCAGAGGAAAAAAAGGTCAAAATAGCTTGTGTGTGTGCGAATCAAACATCTTAATAGCCTAGACATTTGTTTTCTCCATTCAGGCTTTTTATTTGGCCCAGTGACAACGGGACAGCACAGCTCTGTGCAAAGGTATAGAACAGAGAAGGGAGGGGAGAGGATGGGAGGGGTGGGAGGAGGGGTAATGCCAGAAGGTGTAGATCTAGCCCAGGAACCCGGGTCCAACTGGGGCAGGAATACAAACTTACTTTTCCAGGTTGGCCATTTGCTTCATAGCTTCCACAGCCCCTGGCAAAGGCTCAAGGTCTAAAAAGAAGTTCTTTGACTCCCATATGCTGATGGCCTTCTCCTGCGGAGATGAAAGAAGCAGGTTACTTCCTTGATCTTCAGTAGCTCATTGCCCTCACCTGAAAGGTATCAAGACTGGTCTGGTGGCTGACTGGTGGGGGCAGCGGAGCCGAAAGGGTGGGACCTCCACATGGCCCTCATGCCCAAACACAGCCCCACGGATATGTTTCCTGCGGGGGCAGAAAGTGTATCTCAGCTCTTCTCCAGGATGGATTTCCTCTTTCAGATGGAGACCAGCTGTCAAAGACTCTGGGCTCCCAAGCCTGCTCCGGCCTTCCCCATCACCTGATTGTTAGAAACCACCGGCTTGCTACCCATCATGAAGGTGGACCAGGTCTTGCTAGGGCAGGAATCGTTCCAGCTCTGCTTTGATTCGTGCATTGAGTGCCAACAAGTAAAAATATTTTAAGGAGTCTGGTGCTTGTAAGTAGAGAAAGAGGAGACTGTGTACCCATAAAGATTTACAGACTCCGAAACCCCTGGAGTCACTAGGAGTCAGAATCAACTCAATGGCAGTGGGTCTTGAGTTTGGTTGCTTTTAAAGTTTGAAAGCCAACATTCATACTCTCGTTTTACACAACAAAACTGAAGCTGGATTAAGGAAGGATTTTATCTAATGACACAGGGTAGGACAGTGGTCATGCAGGGAGTGGAGGCCACTTCTCCCAACCCCGACCTTAGGCTGATGTGTTCATCATTTGTAGGGACAGGACTTGGGAAAGAAAGTAGGGGAGGGGGCGATAAATCTTAGCCTCTGAGCACTGGAAACCTAAATCCCCCGGCATGGAGTAAGAAGAGCATTTCCCAGTAGCCATGCCAGGCCCATGACCCCACCGCAGTGCCCGTACAAGTGGAGCATGCTCAGAGATCTCAGCTGGCCATGCTCTTGTGAGCTACAAAGTGTTAGGCAAGTGAATGCTTATCACTTATATCTGTTCTCTTTCGTTTGATCCCATAACCCACAAAGAACAAGGCTTGTGGTCCCATTGTCTAGATAAGGAAACTATGATTCACAGATTTTTTTTTTTGTTTTTTAATTATAAAGTGAAGAGTCCATACCTCCTTCCAAGGGTTGCTGGGGGCATATATGATACCATAGACAAAGAACCTAACCTTTCGTATGGTAGCTTCCCTTCACTCCCTTTATTTTACTTCCTATCTGCCTCTAACAGGAGCCCTGGTGGCACAGTGGTTACATGTTGGGCTGCTAACTGCAAGGTCAGCAGTTCAAAACCACCAGCCACTTCATATGAGAAAGACCGGGCTTTCTACTCCTGTAAAAAGTTAGTCTCAGAAACCCACCAGGGCCGTTCAAAGGGTCCTCATTCCCGGGCAGTTCTTCAATTTTTCTAACAGTTTAAAATTCTAAATCAGGTTCAAAGAGCTCTGCTTTTCGCGTCTCCCCTGCTTAACTCCCAGAGTACTGCAAAGATCGAAAGCAACACAAGACGGTGATTTTTAAAAGCAGAAATGCCAACATATGAAAGGTGCTGGGCTTTGGAGGTTTGGTTTGGTGATTGCCTTTCACCACAGGTACAGGTACATTCAGACAAGACTTGGGGACTTCCTGTCGGGAACCGCGCTGAGGACCCATGACTTGGGAGAGGGCTATCTCTTCAGCTAGTTAGTTCCCACCGTGCCACCGTGGGGCCTCACCCCCTCCCAAGTCTTCAGCACTCACTTGCTAAACAAAAAGTGAATGGTTAGAACCCACTAAAGGTGTGGCCCTCTGCTCCCATAAAGATTACAGTCTTGCAAACCTGTCCTATAGGGCCACTTGACAGCCAAGGATTTGTTTCAGGTTTGACAACGTTCCCCAAACTAGGTGATATCAAGCTACTCTCCTCACCACCCAACACGTTGTGCTCCTTGGCCTCCCACTTGGAAAATGATGATTCACTGCTTCAGACCTGAAATCCGTCCATCTGTCAAAGACCTGGGAAAGTCACCGTGTTTCCCAGGGCTAGGTTTAGTCTCCTCTTGGTAACACACTACTGGGAGGAAGTAAGAGGGCGCTCTCCAATGTAGTTCACTGACTGTAAGGGAATATACACCCAGAGGGCAGTAGAGTCCACTGCTGGGGCATTTTATCAAAGCATTTTCTCCTGTGTAACGGTTTTTTTCCTATCAGGACTAGAGGTCTTGCCCACTAGATTCTAATAAAGTCTCCTGCTGGTGAAGGGAAATGGCACTCCATTCCTTTGTAATCCTGCCCCTCAACCAACCAAAGAACTGTGGCAGTCCTTGCCAGGCTGCTTTTTTTCAGTGGGAGGGAATGTCACTGCTTACAGACAGGAGGGCCAGAGAGCAAGACCTTGGGATAGGGAGGGTTAAATGTGCTGGAGAGGCCTGGGTCTGAAGGCTGGGACGTTGGGCAAGTCAGTTATCCGGTCCAAGCCTCGGTTTCCTCATCTGCCAAAGTCAGATAATTGTGTCTACCACACAAAGTGTCACCAACTGAGCACTAATATCATCATCACCCATCCTCTGGTCATCCTGGGGCCAGTGCCAGGAACCTCCGATCCTCTTTCCGTGATATCCACAAAACCACTCAAGCTCTCTGTGCCTCCAATACCTCTGGGAATTATGCTTTTACTGAAAGTTTAAAAAAAAAAGTCGGGGGAAGAAAACTAGCAATCTCCATCAACGCAAGGGAGGAAGATTGTGGAACCGATGACTGCGGTAGGCTCGAACAAATACCGCAGTAAGAACAACAAAAACATCCAGTGAACAAACATACAACCTATCAAGTTGAACGCCTGTGCTGGACAGAAAGCTGGGTTTTGCTCTCGCCTCTCGGAGGGGCTGGCGATGGTGGGGCGCTGGTGAGAGCGCTCAGGGGAGCATCGGTGCTTGGCGGTCACCAGTCCCCGCAGGCGAAAAGGTGAGGCAGTCAGCCTCGGCAACAACAACAACAACAACAACAAACCAAACTCCCTGCCAGCGAGTCACTAGATTCCCCGCGACCCTCTAGTGCCAGGGGCGCTGCCCCCCGGAGCATTTCTTAACAGCCCTCCCTGGAGGCTCTGATCTTGGCAGGACTCTGCGCACCAGCTCGGGCGCGCAGCCGGTGCAGGGTCACCCAAGGTCATCTGAAGCCCAGGGGGGCTCCGGGATCCCGGTCTCCCGCCCCGGGCTCTGGGGTCCCAGCGCCCAGGACCCCGCCCGCGGCTCGCGAGGCCTCGACGCCCCCCGCCCCCGGTCCCCGGGGCGCCACACGGTGCTCACGCGCAGCTCGGGCCGCAGCCGGCCGTACTGCTCCGACACCCAGAAGCCGCGCCGGTCCTCCAGCGCCACGAAGGGCTGGTCGGGGTAGCGCGCGCGGAACTTGCGGAGGAAACCGCCCTCGAAGTCGGCCAGCACGCCGTCCATGTCCAC